AAAAAAGAAACATAAATAAAATAAAATAAAAATGAAAAAATAGTGGGGCAAAAAGAAAAATGCGTACCTGGTGGAACCCGGATTCTCTACTCAGCCCCACACCGAGTTCCCCTACACAAGCCCACACCCTTTGATCTGATCCGTAGAAATAATGGTACCGATTCAGGCAGCCGTCCATCTTTCCGACCAGCTGCGCCGCCAACGGGTAGCTGATCGCGAACCCGCCGCCGCCGAACGCCATGTCGTACGCATGCATCAGGTCCTGCTCCACGCTCTCCGAGTTCCCGCCTACATATACCATCCTCCGGTGGTCGTACTTCCCAAGCACCGCCACCAGGTTGTCCGGGAAGAACACCGTGTCGTCGTCCCCCATCACGAACCACCTCACGTTCGGCAGCCCGACCCGGAACAGATCCACCACAACCCGGGAGATCCTAACCGCCGATTCCGACCCGGCCGAGCGCCTGTACCTCCCCCAGTCGGACGAGACGCGGTGGGGGATCGCGGACCGGATTTCCGGGTCGGGATTCCGCTCGAGGAAGACGAATCCGCGGGTGACGTTTGGCCTCCACCAGAGATCCGAGTACAGGCGCCGGGTTTCCCAGGTGCGAGTCGACCCACCGATGCCGAAGGCCAAGTGGGAGATGTTGGTGGGGGATTGGTCGGAGTTGAGTCGGGCCATGTAGACGGCCGGGTCGGGGAGTTGGGACCAGCCGAAGAAGGCGGGTCGGATGGTGGTGTGTAGGGTTGAGTAAACGGCGAGGGAAATCGAGAAGGTGAGGATGATGGCGAGTGAAGCCCTCAACGACGTCGTTAGGGCGTCGCCGGATTTCTCCTTTGGGGTAATTTTTGCGGTCTTTAACGGAACCTGACCCGATTTGTCTCGGGTCGTGCTCATGTTTTTGAGTGGAGACGGATTGTGAGGTTTGAGTCTGTTGGATCAATTTGAAATAAAGTGACACAGAGGAGAGAGAAAAAGGGAACAAGTATTTGGAACAGACAATTTATTGTCTGGGGAAAAAACTAAGAATTATTAATTTATTTAAAAAAGAAAAAAAATAAGTGGAGAAAAATTAAAAAAAAATAAAAAAAAA